AAATCATCATTCAATTCACACAAACTACGTAATAAATTTTTTAAACGTCTAAAATTTAAAAGTCGAGTTTTGAGGTGCCCATTTTCGGATGGAGGATTAAGTGTTATAAGGCATTTTCTTCCTCCTTTCTGCATGCCTTCGTGGTGTAACGGTGGCACACTCTGCGCGTATTCGAGGGTTCCAAATTCGAGTCCCGGCAAGGGCATTGCTCATTTTTCATGGCTCCAGCTTCAAAATATTCTAATGCCTTTAAACTGTATGTTAAAAAATTAAATTTCCGTTATGGAAGCGATTCACACGCACTGTAAAAAAAAAATCTGTAAGGTTACTAAGAAAACTCATGGAAACTGGGATGCCATGGGTTATTTGAGTAACAGAAACAGGTGTTTTCTTTGTAACATTACAAAAGTTTTGCCTGTAATGGTTACAGATCTTTTTCTTGTAATATCACAGCATATAGTTATGTAAGTAGAACATATTTTTCTCATGTAAATTCCCAAACGATATATCTGTAATGGTTACAGATTATTTGCGTGTAATATTACAGCAAATAATTATGTAAAAAGAGCATGTTTTCTCATGTAAAATCCTAACAGGTATATTTGTAACATTACAGGTTATTTGCTTGTATTATTATAGCAAGTTATTATGTGAGTAGAAGATACTTTTCTTACGTAAAATTCTAATGGTTGTATCTGTAAAGGTTTCAGATTATTTCCTTCTAATATCCCATTAAGTAATTATGTGTGTAGAATATATTTTTCATAGATGAAATACTAAAGGATATGTCTATAAAAGTAATAGATTTTTTTTGTCTAAAATGATGCTTATTATAATAAAATATATTGAAATCAAGATGTTTTGAGTAAAACAATATCTGCATGTGTATATCATTATACAGATATATGCAAGTGAAGCATAATAGTTTGGCTTTTTAAATTAGTCCAATTTGACCTCAGAATAGCATTAATTTAAAAGATGTGCTTTCAACAGCATTCAACATGTTCTTTTTCAAAAAGTAACATTATTCTGTTGCAGAGTATTTTTGTTTTATGAAGAGAAACTTATGTCTTTATGAGTCATCTACTATTACAATACGCTTACTCGAGTGCCCATGGGACTTCTTAATTCTAAAACAATAAGCCTTTTGATGGCATGTTAATACATTCTTATGCAATATCAATAATCTGCTTATTAGACTTTAATTTCTTTTCTATTGAACATATGTTGATTTTCACTTCGTAGAATGCCATGTTTCACTACTGACTGCTATAACATCTAAAATGAGTAACGTGTTGCATGAGCTTGCATCACTAGAGTCACAAACATTTTTGTCCCTTTCAATCTTTGCTAATTATGAAGAATATAGCCTTGTTATTATTACAGAATTGCATTATATTTTGATTTAATGCTAAAATATTTGGAAAATTTGTATATACACTGCTGGCCACCGTAAATGCAACACCCTGAAAGAAGCATGCAAATAACATGAAATTTACCACATGCGTTAACGGAGGTGAGATATGCAAATGATTAGAATTTCGGTGCAGACGCACATCACGCGTGCCTATGGCGCCACTTCAAAGCGCTATTTAAGGCTTGGAGTTTTCAATGATTTTAAGTTCGACAATTGTTTTTCTTGTGGTTTTTTTTAAAAAAAAGATCAATTATACCTCGTAGTAAACAGCGATCATCGTTTGATCAAGTATCCGAGTTCGACAGAGGAAAGATAGTGGCCTACCGAGAGTGTGGATTATCTTTCAGGGAAGTTGGTAGTTGTGTTGGATGAAACCAAACAACTGTAATGCAGATATGTCACTGTAGGATGCAGGAGGCTACAACAGGACCGACATGTTCGATTGCATCCACCTCAATGCACCACTTCACATGATGACAGTAACATTGTGCTCATGGCAGTGGTGAATCGTTCAGTCACATCGCGAACCATAGCACAGCACATTCAGTCTGTAACGCATCATCCAGTGTCTGCACGTACCATTCGACGCTGTTTACAGCAGAATGGTCAGTCCGCAAGACGTCCATTGCTTTGTCTACCCTTGATGCAGAACAACAAATGTCTCCGCCGTCAATGGTGCAACGAAAGAAGGATGTGGATGGCAGAATGGAATGAAATTGTCTTTACCGATGAGTCACGCTTCTTCTGTCTGCAACACCACGATGGTCGGATTCGAGTCTGGAGACACTGTGGAGAGAGGGTGCTGAACAGCTGCGTTATGCACTGCCACAACTGGTCCTGCACCGGGTATTATGGTATGGGGCAGTATTGGATATCACTCTCAGACTCCTCTAGCACGCATTGCCGGTACTTTAAATAGCCAGCGCTACATCTCCGAGGTGTTGGAGCCAGTTGTTCTTCCTTCCTTACTTACCTTCTTAATAGAAAGGAGGCAATATTTTTGTTCCTCCATTTTTACACAATATTTTTACTAAACTGTAGTATATGAAGAAAAAAAGGATAAATAATTAGCAAGTTCCATTTGGTAAAATCATTTAGCATTTATCTTTTAAATGTTAGCTATATGATAACTTCTTATAAAACTTGTAGTAGCATAAATTGCTTTCAAAGGCACCTATAAAAATAAAATTTGCATTAAAATTTATTTTTTGTTATGATACCGAGAGATCAAAACCTCTCTAAGGGAAAATTTTTTTTTGAATCTGCATCAAAAACTAGTCAGAAATAGTACTGTTTGATGTACATAATTTTTTTTTTTCCTCGAATAGAAGTAATTTATTATTGCTTCTACAGATGGCCCATAGACGAAACTATTGAGCTGAAAGGCAAATGATTCTTGAAATAAATATCAGATCTACACTTTGACAAGAGAAAGTGGTGAAAAATAAGTATGACATCTCATGAGATGTAGACAATTTTACAAATTTTGAAGATATGTCTAATTTTACCTTACTTTTAAATTTTATAACTGCTTGTAGCAAGAAATTTTATTTATGTTCTCTCAGAGAGGAATTTTTTCAAACCATTGTTGTGTTATGAATTCAATAAACTTTCATATTAGGTTTAAATCCATTTCAACTACTGTGTATAGAATTCACTTAAAATACTAATTTACATATCTGAATATGCATAATTTAATAATGAGTTTTTAATTTTTTCGATAATATATATATATATTTTAAATTTAGATAGATTTTGTCCAATTTCTAATTTCTTTTATGATGCCTTCCCAAATTACTACAGAGCTTCCCTTTCCCAGACTACTATAGAACTGAAAATACATAGTCAATTAACATCATTAATCAATCAAATTCCTAAGAAAAAAGTCTTATCTTATAAGTATTTAAAAACTTTTCACATAACTGTGAAATCTGATGAACAAAAAAAGATATCTCTACTAATTTAAGCATCGCCTTAATTGGCATAGTGGTTAGTACATGCTGACAGCTATATCATTGGACCCAGGATTGAATCCTGGAGAAGGCTTCAATATTTATAAATGTATTATAGTGTCTATGTAGCATCCGAGCACTTAAAATACTGTCAAGCAGAAAGTTTTCTTGAAAAATTTGGTGTTGGTAGAAAACGTGTGGACTTTCAGATTTTTGCCCCAGGCATTCTCGATTAAAACTAGAACACAGCATCCCCTTCTCTTAAGTGTAAAATAAATTGCCCATATGTTGAACTTAGGCAACATTCTCGGTAATGAGATGGCTAAAAAACTGATGGTTATTGGTCATCCTGATGAATGCATTACCTTACAAGTGTCCCACCATTTGAAAACAATACATACCAAATTAAGCAAAGCTATTAGCATTTCTATATTTCTGCTAAAATCATGTATTATTAGAAACAAGCAGTGTCTTTTGGGCAGTTATATCTTAATACAGTCAAAAGTCGTTAATTCGGACACCCATAATCCGGAATGATCTATAATCCGGACCTCAAAGCTAAAAACTTTCTGCTCATGCGCCACGTTGACACATGCGCATAGGCGTTCACGTTAGACCTTTACAACTGTGCATATGAGTGTGCGCAAGTGCAGAATACGTTTTCGCGTGCACATTTAATGTATAACGAACGGTATAAACTAAAATGATCTAATTGCCTATTTCAGTTAATGTTGACGATTGCGTTGTTCCTTAATATTCAAATTACATGCTGCTTATTATTTTTTGCAGACTGTAAGAGCAATTTTATAAAAGTAAACTTTAACTTTCGACTATGTCAAATAGAATTTCCCATGCTGGAGCTCCCAAAGGATCTACCAAAACGAAAGTAATGTTTCGATGTCCATCAAACAAAAAGTGGAATTGCTGCAAAAAATGGATAAAGGCATGAAGAAGGTGACAGAGAGGTTAGTGAAAACAAAAACATTTTGATTGACAGACAAGTTAGTCGGTATTCTCGGCACAGCAATTACGGGACTTGAACAGCGGAACTTTGTAACTGAACAAGAAATTATGTCTGTTTATAGAATGAAAGAGAAAGTATTATCACATAAAACAAAGCAACTTAAACAACTTACATTGAAAGCAATGTTTAATAAAGTAAACAAATAAATATTAAGCTTTTTTTTTTTTTTTTTTTTTGTAAATTTTGATACCCTTTAGATCATAATTGTTCTTTATTTCATAAATTTCGGTTTCATATTTTGAATTTTAGAATTTCTGCATGCCATCTTACGAGATTTAAACTGATGATCTATAATCCGGAATCGCCGAAGTCCTGGCGAGTCCAGATTAATGACTTTTAACTGTATTATGAAGATAAGTTAATGTCATTTTTAGATCCAAAAATTGTAATAATTTTACCTTTTCAAAAGTGTTAATTCAAGAATATATTTTTCTCTGAATTAATTTTGTTCGAGGCATTCCAAAAATTTTTAAGTAAAATATGAAACCTGTTTGCAAAATAAACCACTAATTTATCATCAATAGAACAATAAAAAATGATCCTACTATTTTATCACACTTAATTGTTTTTAAAATTGATTAAACATGTTAACATACTGAGAAACAGATAGAATAAATATAAATTTATTTTTGATTCCCTAAACTCCAACATACATTTTTGCCTTTTTATTGCTGCCTTACTTGAATAATACATAATGCAATTTAATTCGTAACTCGTTTATTTATGTTTAATTTTCCATATAAAATGTTGATAGAAAGGTTATTTGAATTAAATGACAATACTTTGCAAAACTACAAAAATATCTGAAATTATTTTGTACTCTAATAACTAGAAACATTTTCACAATGTTTACACACACAGCATAAAAGTATGTAATAAATGTAAGCTAGTAAACTTTCCTAAAAAATTTGGTTCCCTTCTTAATAAATCTTAAATAATATATGATTATAAAATTCTAAATTCCAATAAAACGTTTTAAATTATATTCATGCTGGCAAATCAGAAATCACTATGGGTCTAATAATGACAATATATTTTGAAATACAATAACATTTGGACAAAAATTTTAAAATAATAAAATTTCTCATAATAATACTTTGGTGTAAACAATTTGCTTCATAAGATAAAATCTAAATTCTTTTTTTTTTTTATTTTTTTTTTATTTTTTTTTTTTTTTTATTGAAATGACACAACATTTTTAATTTGGAGACACAAACCAACACAAATTTTAATTTCATTGAGGAGACCATAAGTTTCAAAAAGTTAAAATGAGATGAACTTGTATATTTCATAAGTTTAAATAATGAATTAAATGTATTAATACTTTTTCTATCACAGCACCATAAATTAGCCTATGAAACTAATTACAAATATATTCTTACATCTGTTAGAATTTTAACTCTTAATAAATTTCAATAAATCACCTAGGCAAGGTAGATAATAATCTGGGATAAACATATGATCTTTTTCTTCTTTACTTTCTTGAAAGTTCTGAACATCATCTAAAGAATTTATTCCAGTAAGTACAAATAGTGTTTTCAAGCCATGTCTTGTTCCAAGTAATATATCTGTATTTAATCTGAAAGTAAAATTGCATATGAAAAGGTGTTCTATAATAAAATTTTTATACTTATTTGTCAAAAACCTTTTTATTGGGATACACACAAACTTTGAAATTGCATCAAAAATTTTTTAAATCATATAAAATAATTATAACACAAATCTAAAATACATACAAAATACGAACAGTCTCATAGAAAGTCCGAGATCTGCAACTGTTCAGCAGTTCTGGGTTTTGGAAATTTCCAGAACTTAGATAAGTTGAAATCCAGTAAGATTACATGAAGGAATTATAAAATTAAAAATACGAATAACTGTTTATGAAATAATCAAGCATTTATGATCTTAAAAGAATCAAGCATTTAAAAAAAAAAAAAAAAAACTTAACATTTATTTGTTTTATTAAACATTCCTTCCAATATAGATTTGTTTAAGCTGCCCCATTTTTGTGTTAATACTTTCTCTTAAATTTTATAGTAGATATAACTTCTTGTTCAGTTATTAAGTTCCATTGTTAAAGTCTTATAATTGCCATAGTGAGAATTTCCACTAAACTCTCAAATGAAATCTCATTCTCAAAAACCTCTCTGTGACTTCATTATCAGTATGGATATTTTCTTGATTTAAAGGCACACTACAGATTTTGTCTATTGCTGACTGGGGCATAGAAATCTGTTATATCACCTTTATTTATTATCATCTCCATATTTCTTGAAAAATTGCATTCTTTAGAAAACTTCACCTTATAGCATGCAAAATCTATGCCAAAATCAAGTTGTTATGTTTAATTTTGAAATTGCACTTTCTTAGTTCGAATTGTGTCAGTGCCATTTTCTATCCCTAAGGTTTAAGGCAAGTACAAGTTATCCTTTCTATTTGCAGCTCCAGGATTTGAAACTCTTTTCAAAATAATTAAAAATTAAAACTTTTTTGATGAGATAGCTGTAAAAATAACAGCTTACAAAAAATAATAAGCTGGATCAAATTATAAAGTTAAAGAAGAATGCAATTTTCAATATTAAGTTCTTAGAAATCTCATTCTTTCTTTTTCCCCACTGCTATGCCAACAAAAGAAAACCAGTATGGACAGAATCCCACCCCAAACAAATAAATCTTAGGTCATCAATTATTGTTTAGATTACAGAGAAGAATGTTAACACCTTCTCCACAACCACTCACGGGTTGAAAGCAGTCATGACTACTACCAGTCAATGTAATGTCATTGATCACCATGTATTTCCTTAGGGCACCAGTGTTTAGAAGTGACATATAGGAATCTCAGTCAGGAGAAAAACCGATTTTAGAGCATATTTGCTTTCTCCCTCTTCAAGTATCATATTCTTTACTTCTAGACTTTGTAAACAAATAATAAAAAATAAAATAAATCTGCTAGTGTCTGGACATTAGATCGGTCCAGGTTCTGAACTCCATAACTTTTCCTCCTTTCAATTTTCAGTAACTTTTTATTAATATGAATTCATACTCAGTTTGGAAAAGAAATTGTAATATGAAATAATTCAGAGTAATGAATACATAATTTAGTTAAAAATATCTTTATTTTGCTTTTTATTTTAGATGTATCAAATGTTAATTAAGTATGCAAATATTTGATATATAAGAATAAGAATCTAATTAATTATCTTAATCTAGATAGCATATTAAAAATGATTTTTAAGTATACACTGCTGGCCATTAAAATTGTAACACCATGAAGGAAAGCAAGTAAAAAAAAAAAAAAAAGAAAGAAAAAATATTGCATGTAAAACAGTATGGCATGAAGACAAAATGATTAAATTTGTAAGCATTTTGGAGGTTTACAAGGGAGAGAAATTAGTAGAAATAGCTTCCACTCTGGCAGCTAAAATGGCCCTTATCCTACTAGGCATGGAGTCAAGCTGGGCTTGGATGACAGAAATGGCAACTCATTCCATGCTGCTTCAAATCTATGCCACACTTCATCAACCGTACTACCCAGAGAGGGGTGGGGGGCCAGTCTCTCAGCAACCCATGACCAGATGTTTGACCAGGGTGACAGATCTAGAGAGTGTGCAGGCCAGGGCAGCAATCAAATGTCCTGTGTATCAAGGAAGGTCAGAACACGATGTGCTACATGTGGTCTTGCATTATCTTGTTGCAACATAGTGTTTGGGGACCTCAAAGAGAGGGCACAACCACTGGACATAAGATGTCAGAAATGTTCCCATCTGTGTTCAAATTACCATCAACATTAACTAGAGATGTGTATGTCGTGTACTCAACGGCTGCTCAAACCATCACACAAGATGCAGGGCCCCTATGTCGATATAGAATGCTAGCAGCCAACGTGCGGTCTCCTTGGACATTCCAGACAAGTATACGGCCATCAAAATACTGCACGTAGAACTAAGACTCATTTGAAAAGATAACATTGTGAAAATACCCGTACCCAGTTTTGTAGTTTAGTGCACCAGAGTCACCATCTCTCTCTATGCTGTGTTGCCAAAGGAAGTGAAAGTAATGGTCACCCTGCTGATAGTCCACACTGCTGCAAGCGTTCATGCACTTTACAAGCTGATACTGGGTGTGCTGCAAACATGCCCATTTCCTGACTAATAGTCCATAATGTGGTCATATGGTTTTGCAGGGCTAACCTCACAATATGTCTGTCCTCTCATGTGTTAGGCTGCTATCACACGTCGGTTTGTTTCGAAAGAACAACTGTTTGGAACAATTTTTCTGTTTTGTCACAACAGCCAATCACCACAGCTCACTTTGGGGTTAACACAGGGGAAACTGGTTCTCCATTACAAACAAGCTAACAACATTCGGCGCTGATAGCTGATTGGTTGAAAACGAACAACTTGCAACTTTTTTTGAAAGGAAGGAAAAAGTCGCACATCTTTCTTTCAATACTAATCATTTACATATCCCAACTTCTTCCTTTCATGTGATTTTGACATTCCTCAGATCATTCTTTTCTGGTGTTGCAATTTTAATGGCCCAGCAGTGTAGAAATTAATATGTTCAGTTTTTTATTTAATTAAATTAAATTATACTAGTAGATCTATCTATATTATATAGCTATATTGTGTTTTAGCCAACAACTATTCCTGAATATAATAATTAAAATAACATTTTGAAAAATTGCAAAAATTATAATGTAATTACTTGCCTTAATAAAACAACAAACAATCATTACTTTTCCCCAAGTTATGATTAACCCCTTGGGTACGGATTTATTTGAGAAAATATTTGCATGTGGAACCAATATAATTTTTGGTTGTTTGGAGTAGTATGTAAAAGCAGTAAATTTTACGTAAGAATTTATTTATTTCTAAAATATTGGTAACATATATAGTATTAAGATGTCTTCAAGTAATTAGAATTGCAAAACAAAAATAAATTAATAATAACAAAATAAATTTAAGCTATAACAAAAAACCAATTACTAATAATTATGCAGAGTGTGATATTTTTCAAAGCAAGTAGGTAAATGCAGTGCTACTTTGCATTGTTTGCACTGCCACATAGTCTCTTTCCTAATATTATGCTTATAACAAACACAGCACCTTTTTCCAGGGTGTTGTTTGGACTTGGTTGACGGAATGTTCTCAGGAAAGTGTGCCTAATTTTTTGCTGCCAAACGAAATGGCGTATCGCTACTTGACAGACGTCCACGACATTTATAATTTGGCAATGACAATTGCTCCAGCATTTCTTCGGCAGTAGCTAAACGAAAGGAAGCAATGCCTGCCTTGGTTGTGCAGTTGATTTTAGAATATAGAAATAGTATTATAACAAGAATAGTATTATAAAATGCCATATCTATTAGATAAAAAAATTTTTTTTTCTTATAACCCTTTACACTTTTTCTCATAACTGGGAAGCATGCTAGCAATTGGTCTTGTTTATCAATGCCTCCCATACCTTTATTATACTCAAGCACAAATGCCGTTTTTATAATATTTTCACTGTCGCCACCTTCACCTTTTCTCCTTTTGCCCGTGTTTATCAAATCAGCATTTGAATGCTTTGTGCTAAGTATGTGAATCATCCGCTCCTAGGGAAAACAAGTGAATGACATCTCTCAGACATCAAATGTACCCCAGAGTTTAATTTTTGGTTTGACGTCTTAGACATGTCATCTGCTCCTAGGGGGGAAAAAGTGAATGACGTGTCTCAGACGTCAAATGTACCCAAAGGGTTAATTACTAGGGGACAAGATGTTGTAGCACTGAAAAAATTCTCTTTTATACATATTTACTTTTTATCATCATTTTAACACAGAACCTAGTAAAAATTTAAAACAAAAATTTTAAACTTTCTGAAAAATTTTGATGGCTAGAAAAAAAAAATTGACTAAAATATTACATTCTAAAGTTTTAGATATTTGATGTCATTTTTAATTGGCCTTTAGGAATTAGGTTAACCAAAAAATTAGAATAATTCCAGGTATATTTTTGCTCTTACAGGCCATTTAGTGATATTCTTTTGTGATTTACCAGAGTGTAACATATAACTTTGTTACAACTGGTATGCTGAAAGAATTTTCACGCAAGCAATTTATAAGTTTAATAATGCTTAAAATACTTTATTCATATTCCCACGAAGTTTTATTACTTTAGAATCATAATCTAATAAATCAGACAAAAAATTTATTAAACTAGAAATATTTTTCCTTCTTAATTTAGGAAAATAATGCTACGAGTTGGATGCATGCCAATATGGAAACTTGCCAGTGTTTTTCTAGAACACAAAATCTATATGATTTTGTAAATAAGATTGCTTGTTTGGAAAAAATTATGCTGATCAATGCTGTTCATTACAATCTGCATAGAAATGCTGAACATTTTATCTATTGTAAAACATCGTAACCCCCCCTTTTTTTTTTGTTTTTGAAGTTGATATTTTATTTTTAGTTTCATACAAATGCACCCATTTTGATTTTCAATTTGTATATTGTTCCTGAGTGTGATGTTTAACTATAAAATTAAATTGGTCAATTTTTGTCATATGGAAATTGTATGCTTGTATTTTATTTCTTATAATGAATATAGAAATTTCCTTAACATAAGGGTAGGCAGTAAAGAAATGTAAAAAGTTTGATTTTGTAATTTTTAGAAAATTGATTTTTTTAATTAAAAAATGACAAAGCATGCATATTTGCATCATTTAAAACATTTTTGTAATTATAACTATGAACTACAAGCAACAGCTGTAAAAATAAAGGCCGTGCAAGGATTTTCATGGACACAGTGTGTATATATTTGATGCCAATCCCACAGTTATTTGCTTAATTTCATGTTCATTCTCATCACATATGTGTAATTATTATTTTATATTTCTAGAGATATGTGCGTTGACTTAAATTTTTTTTTCTAATTCCATTAATATTTTTATTAAATATTTTCACTCAATTAAAATTTCATTCTCCTCAAATTAGTATGGAATTTTTATTTTAATTAGCACTAAATGTTTAAAAGAGCTTCATACCTTTGAAGAAAATTAGAAGTACAGTAATCCGTACATCCATTATCTGGAATGATCTAAAATCCGGACCTCAAAGCCACAAACTTACGCATGCGCATAATGCGTTTACGTGTGCGCGTAAAGCCACTAAAGCATTTACCCATGCCTGCTTCTGATAGTGAAGAAAGTGGCAGAGAAAACGAAAAAATTTTGATTGACAAGTTAGTCGGTATTCTCGACACAGAAATTACAGGACTTGACGTGGAACTTTTCTAAACAGAAATTATGTTGTTATAAGTTAAAGAGACCGTTTAGCACAAAAAACGAGTAACTTAAACAAGAACATTGAAGAATGTTTAATAAAGTAAACAAATACAATCAATTTTTTTTTTTTTTTTTTTTTTTTTTTTTTTTTTTGTAAATTTTGATACCCTTTAGATCATAATTGGCTCTTATTTCACAAATTACAGTTTCATATTTTTAATTGTATAATTTCTGCATGCCATCTTACCAGATTTAAATTGATGATCTATAATCTGGAAAAACTCCTAATCCGGAATAGCCGAAGTCCCGATGAGTCAGGATTACGGACTTTGCACTGTACTTCATAGATTCAGATTTTAAAGTAAACAGTAATTGTTTGTGGTAGAAATCAATGGTTCTGATTTGGATTGTTAATTTCCATTAATGCTAATTATGTTCCTTATCTACATTTTTAATAAGTTTAAAATTTAATTTTTAAGAAGTATATTAAACAGTGAAACACAAGATTTTTACCTATCACCAATCATGATACACCGACTAAAATCAATCTCAGGCTGTATCTGTTTAATACAGTCTAGCATAAATTTCTCAGGTTTTCCAAGTGCTATTGCAGATCTGCCACTCACCACTTCTACAGCATAAACAAATGTTCCAGCACCTTTTAAAAATAAATAAAAATTACATATGACAGAAAATTATAAACACACATTAAAATTAATGGCACTGATTATAATTAAAAAATAAAGCCTAGCTTTAACCAAAGAACCGAATTTAATGTAAAAACTAAAATTTCTTAGGGTGAATACTTTTGTCAGAAATATATTCTAGAAGTACATTGATATGTTTTCTGTGTTTAAATTCTAAACGAGCAAAAAATTAAAGCAGTTATCAGTTGGAAGAGCTTCCTCAACTAATGCAGCAAACTGAGTTTAGAGATAATTAAGATATCAGCTTTGTAAATACATGGTATAGAATTTGGGAAATTTTTAATTTCTCATGAAAGCCAAACTATACAAATCATAAGTTTTTATTTAAAAGTTATACTTTTAAATAAATTACAATTAAAATTATTTAAGGGTTTGATTATTTGTCATTTAAAGGTGCCAGGTGGATTAAACAAAATACAAAATTTTATTAATTTGTTGGTTAAAATACCAATGAAATAATAAAAGAACAAATGAAATTCTAAAGAATAATAATAAAAAAAGCAAGTTCTGCATTAAGATACACAATAAATAATATAATGAAACCATCCTAAACTATGTAATAATTATGAAAATTAAAACACCTAAAACAATAGAGCTCATATATTTTTCTTTTGGTTAAACTGAAGAATGGTAATGGGATATTTCCACCTGAGTCTATGAAGATGAATCACATGATAGCCTACATTACAATGAAACTAATGATTTGTTATACTGCTGCCATGGACAGAGGAAAAAAGAAAGTAATTCAGAATGGTCGATGATTATATGTCTTTTCAAGAAAATCATGATTAATTCCTTACAAACACATTTAAAATTTTAATCTGAAAAGTTAAGCTTAACAATATTATTGTAAAATATACATAGAGCTATGCATATTAACAGCTTATATGTTGAGCATAATCTTGTATTAATGGTAAAAGCATTTAAATCCTTTAATCCCAAACAATAAATATTAAAATATAAAAAGCACCAACCAGGAATTATGAGATTGCCTTCTGTTGGAAACTGTTCATCTCTGTTTGTTGCAAGAAAAATACATTCAGGATTCTTCAAGTAACTTGCAGCTTTTGTCAATTTTGGATAACTGACATACTGATCAAATCCGACTACAACTGCTCCTACCTAAATATAAATTACTGAAAATAGTTATTAATAAAAAGAAAATCTGAAAGGTTTCAGATTTTAAATTACGTCCAAAGGGGCAGTTTTTCTAAACATTTTGTCTGTTACATTTATTTATTAAATATCATGTTCTTCGCACTTAAACCATAAAATTCAGTTCAAGAGCAATATCGCAAAATAGTTTTAAAATGAGCATATCTTCAGAATTTCCGATACAGAGAACCACACGCTGGAGATGAAAATGTTTTTTCTGTACAACGTTGCCATTGCATGCTTTGAAATTCTTGAGTTTGTTAATCAAAAATTCATTAAAGTTTTACAAAATGGAAAATCGATAATAAATTCCAAATTTCAAATTTGGTCTTTTATCACAATGCGAGAAATATACATACATTTATGCATATTTTTCTTTATTTAATTTCTTCAAATAATGCAGAACATTTGGTGCCAACAGTTTGAAAAGTGATTCGCTGTTTATAGTGAATCGACGCAAAATCGCTAAACAAAAACAATAGTCCTTCAGGGACAAAGCCCCTTTGGACTAAAAATTGAAGCTTTAAATCCTAATTACAATTAAAAACCAAGGGTACTTGCCTTATTATAGTGACACCCAAAATTTAATCACTAATCAATCGAGATGTGACTTGTAACGATGTATAAGAACATGTGGCGAAATATCTTGGTTGATAGTGATTCAATCTTGGGGACCACTAAAATAAGAAAGTACTGAAACAAGAAAGTTTATTCATGCAAATAAATTCAAGCTAATCTGAAATTTAATGACTGGCACAGAAGAAATTTTAATGCATAAAAAAAAGCATAATATAATGTAATTTTTAAACCCTGCCCACTATATTTTTTTTAATGATCTGAAGATCCTAAGGGGAGAAAGAGGAGAATCCTTCAAGAAAAATTCTAAGGAAAAAATTTATTAATTTGTGAACTTGAACTGATATTGACAATTTTAGTTAATATTTTAAATATTTCTTAAATGTGTGAGTCAAAATATCACTTTGCTTGCATGGGTAATAGTGTACTTTTTAAAATTATACTAATAATTGTTTTAAACCTTAACTTATTTAATTGATACATGTGATAATTAACTTCAGTGAAAAATGATAGATACATTAAAGGAATTAATATGCAGTTTCAGAAGTTTTCTGGATTACTTAGATCAGTGGCCTCGAACTGATGGCTTGCAGGCTTAATTCGAGCCCTGAAGCAATTTTACATGGCTCCTGAATAAATATCCGTAAATTAATTAGCATTCATATGAAAGAAATTTGAAGAAAATATCTTCGATTTCAATTATTTGAAGTCCAATTTTCATTACTTTCATTGCTGAAAACAAACATGAATAAAGAGAACTTGTAAATGGAGGTAATTAATCTAAACTGCGACATAAATCTTACTGAAAGATTTGAAGATACAAATCTGATTAGCTTTTCTTCTTTGTCAAAAGATAAATATCCTTAGTTGTGAATTTTGTAAGGAGAATAATCACTTACTTGGGAGAATAATTTTATGTTAGTCTAAGGGAAAAAAATGGGATTGCCAATGAATTTCTATATTTTGTGATGAAGATACTTTCAAGTAATTTTTCTCCAAGGTTACAAACTATCAAAATTGAAATGTCAATGAGGTGTTATTGCTAAAACCTGTAGTAAAGAATAAAGAAGTTTGTAATTATTTACATAAAATATTTGTATTTTTTTTATAATATATTTTTTTCTGTATGGATCACAGGAAAATATAATAAACAAAGAAAGAGAATAAGTTGTCATTATTTATTTTCTAGTTTTGTTCTTAGGAAATTTTCATAATTTGTTTTAGTTTTAAATTATTTAGTGGTTACTTCAGTATATTATAATTATTTGAATAGATATCAGTCTGAAAATTTTAATTATCAATAGGTTTGAATTACATAAGTGTAACTAACAGAAATTTCTTGAAGATGCCAGCCTTTAGACAGAAAATTGTCTAAATGTGAATTTTTTCTTTGTGTCATAATTATTACTGTTTATGTATATTTTTTCAAATATAGTAAAAAATGTCCTTCTGTTAAAAAAAAAAAAAAAAAAAACTTTAAATTGTTTTAAAACTTTGGCCTTTTAGCTGTTTTTTAGATCGTGCCTTCGAGTCACCTGCAATTTAAGTTTGAGGCAACTGATTTAGACTATAGCAAAGTAGTCAAGGGCTGCTTAAGAGCAGAAATACTTTTCTGAAGGACTTATTCAAAGAAACTGGCTTGTTTCCACTATACACATGATAAACCACCATGCAGCCAACCCATTCATCAGGATTTGATCCTGGATAGAACTAACAGTTTTTCAATGGTTTCATAGCTTAGCCTGTTTTCTGAGATACCACTATATATAATTAAGTTTACAATAAAATTAGTTATAATTAAGAAGAACAGCACAATATTCATAATGAATCGATATAACCAAGCTAAATAAAAAAAAACATATTGAATATTAGGATTTTTTTATTTACAAAGAATCAAAATGGATATATTATGGCAAATAAATTCTCCTTGTGATTACCATGATTTATCTAAAAATATCAAGTATTGAAAAACAAAGACTGCTTTTGAAAGAAGTTTAACATATAGTAAATTGAATAATCCAACAAACTGATATTTACCTCTGGATCAAGTTTTAGATCACTTAACCACTGTATCCAGTTATCAGGAATAGGATCAGGCTAAAATGAAAGAAAGGAAGATTAACTATTATATAATAATTTAACCTTAAAATGAATTACATATAAAAAATTCCAAATTCTCATCAACAGTAATGTATTTTAACTAAACACAGTTTCATATTTGTATTAATTTTCAGTTAGGAAAACATTCCAACTTAAAAAAGGAAACACATGGTGGAAAGAAATCTAATAAGAAATTATATTTTAAAAATATAAAGTACAAATTACTACCATAGTCTGAGATCAAATGATTTTATGTGAATTCTCACTAGAATGTAATCACTGGTCTAATTGTAGCTCATGAATTATGAAATATGTAAGCAAAAGTGAATAAAATCATTTGATTAAATTCTTTCTCTAGTTTCAATCATAAAGCCAAAAATGAATTCACTCTGTTGTATAAAATTAAGAAAATCCATAGAAATAATTTTAAAAATAATGAAAAATGTACAACAGATTTACTTTACAGCCTCATTTAATAAATTTACAATAGAAATTAATAATGTTTTAGTTAAAAATTAAATGGCAAAAATTTACAGTTCTGTGTAAAGTTATCTGAAAATTACTAGGAAAGGATATATGTTACTCTCTTAAAACACCATCTTAACTGTAATTATTAACACTTCCCTTTTCCTTTTAAGAAATTATTAGACAAAATTTTATGGCTTATTTTAAATAAATGTTATAACAATATAAATTTTAACGACAGAAATTTTACATGAAAATATTTTGAATATGTTGTAGAGACATTAGGTTATTTTGGAAGCAAGAGAGATTGAAAAACTGGCAATGCCTTCACTGGGAATCGAATCACAGATCTCTGAAATAAGTGCCCAGCATGCAGACCACCATGCCAAGAAGGCGGGAGAAATATGGGGTTTTTAGGGGACCCAATCGCTAAATCCTGGGCATGGAGAATCATCATCCAACACCCTTTTAGTTCGGGTGTCACTGTAGAAATATTAGGTATTTTGGAAGCAGGAATGATGAAAAAGAGCAATCGCCTTTGCTGGGAATCGAACCGTAGATCTATGGAATACGTGCCCAGCATGCAGATCACCACACCATGAAGGCATGCCAAGAAGGCGGGAGAAATACCTTATAATGTGATTAAATTCCAACTTATTTTTATGCTGTGTTTCAGCTCTTGTATTATACTCAACTAAAAATATTAAAAATCTATATACAGACAAACATTAAATAATTCTTTTTTTACCTTTTGCCAACCAAATGGTAATGCAATTGATTCAGAAACATTATTGTTATTTATGATAACAAAAAAAAAAAAAAAAAAAAAAAAAAAAAAATGAATTTGTTTAAAGCTTTAAATTATAATAAAATATTAATTTGAAGATTATTTCACCAAAAATAAACGTTTTGTTGACCATAAAAGCATCCATGTTTATAATTCTAGATATTGTCACATATCATTATGCAAATTAAATTTTTTTGGTATCTGTTATTAGAAACAGATTTAGAAATTTGCAAAAATGCATGTATACACATGTACATACATATATTTCCAAATCCGGTCAATAACAAAAAAGTACTTTTTTAAAATTGTAAATAAATGGAGCTACATTACCTAAAGTGACTTATTTTTAAATTTAAAAATTAATTTTTTTTGATTGAATATTTCAGTTTGAGCGAAGTTCTGATTTGTTTAATGAGTCAGGGTAATTGAGATTTTGCTATCTTCCGAGTTTTGGGGTTTTGTGTATTGTTAAGTGAAATTTTTTTTTTTTTCAGAAACTTTGTGACAACGTGGAATTTGTTTTGTGAAATTTTGAAATACGATTAAGAAGAGTAGTTTTGTTCTGTACTCATTGAGTGGGATTTTTCTGTTGATTACGGGTAGTTTGTTTTGAATTTACTAGTGAGTTGTATTAGTTTTGTTTTAGTTAGTGAATTTCTTTCTTGGTTGGACTTAATGCAGATTTTGGGGTTAATTCTAGTACTGGAGTAAGTTTTGTATTGGATTATAATCTTGATACGTGTGGAAGTGGAAATTTCATACTTAAGAGGAGTTTCATTTTTGGGAGAGATTTTTGTGAAGAATTATGGTTTATGAATTTTGAGTTTTCTTTTTGAAGAGTATTTAACTCCACTATAAGTTATGTCTTGCCTTTTAATTATTAAGGTTGTTTTCAAGTTTTTGTTTTGTTCTCTGGTGAACTCGGCAAAGGTTCGTAAAATGTATGTTCACTGAAGCTTAGTGTATGTGGTAGAATTTGAGTTATAGGAATTGATTTGTGAGATTTTTAGAGATTTTGTTTTAGATTTTGAGTTATAAGTAGTTTTTAGTTTAAGCACTTCTCATGAGAACTTTGCATTTGTTGCTTGCAGTTGGGTCTTGCTTGTGAAATTGTAATGTCCTGAAAGTTGGTTTTCTTGTAATACTTGCACTTCATAGTTGTTCTTGACCACACACCAGTAAAACAGGAACTTGTTTCTAAGAAGCTATTGTTGTATCTCTTTCATTGCGTTGGTGTTCAGAAACGTTTCAGTCAGGGCACTTTTCTTTCCGGAATAATGGATTCTGTGTTCTCTTTTAACGTGTCTGGAGTTTTGCTTGATGCGTAAAGCCATGGGTCTGTCATTTGTAACACAACGCTTTTCTCAGCTTACATGGACGCTGTAAAGTTATTTTGTTGGGTAGAGGTGTTGCTAAATACTGTTACTTAAGTTGCAATTCCCCTTTTCGCAAGAGTTTGATGCAAAATAGATCTCAATTTTTGTATAAATTGGGGGGGAGGTATTATTTTGGACACTTTTTTTATTTTTGTGGGAATTTTTATTAGCGTTCTAGTAAAAGTCCAGCTTTCATTAGTTTGAAACTTTCTTTTGTGTACTTAGTTGATTTGTTATGAATTACTGAATTTTTCTTGGTTGTCTTATTAAGGAGACTCAAGTATGTTGTTTACTCACTAGTGATTAGTTTGAGGTTGGAATATTATAGCTTAGCGACACTTCATTCTTGCTGTTTGATTTTTCTTTGGCTTGATAAAATTTGTATTGAAATGCTTTTGAATTTGTTATTATTTAACTTCACGAATATTTTCTATGAAAATTTGGTTTCCATATCACTGATCTCAATGCCCATTTCAATTGTGGCAAACTTTTTACAGTATATTTGTAGTTTCGCTTGGATGTGTATGCGTGTTTTGAAGCATTTGTTTTGGCACCCATACAGGGAAGGGATGTTGTGTAGATGATATCTGAATTTTCTGTTGAGAAAAGTTTACTTTTTATTTAGGAAAAATTGGAATTGAGTTAATTCTTTGGATTAGTATTTTAATTTATTAATATTCCATTATCTGAGTTTTACATTTTGGAAAACCTGTGCTTCAATGATATTTTGTTCTTTTATTAAGTTTAACGGGCAAGACTTCACATTTTTTGTGAAAGATTCAGAGAAAGACAGTAATTCTGCTGCATCATTCTTTTCGAATATTCTAGAAAGAAATTTCTTTGCTTTCGGTTGCTAGGGGAATAGGAGTATGTGACGAGGGTCAAGGGTTAATAGTTGTCTTACGAGGAAAGGTGAAAAGGTTTTGCGAAAGAAAAGGTCTATTTTGGCTCCAGGTCTTGACTGGCTTGCTGATAGGCTGTTTTGTGCAAGTTGGGGAAAAAGGTGAAAATGTTAGTCTTGATGGAGGGTGCGAAGTTTTAGATTTTGTGGTAGCCTGCTTTGCGAGAGTGTGAATAAGATTTTGCAGTATAGGTCACTTTTGTCTTCACTGTCTTCAAGGTAGGAACTTCCTCCTTAATTTAGTGATGTGGTAAGTTTGCTCTTCAGTTGTTGTTAGGGGAAGTAACTTCCCCTAACAACAACTCTCCAACTGAGCATATTTTTCGAAATTTGGAGAAACTGGGCTAGTTTTAGTTAGCTTCGGAAATAAATGTTTTTTTTTTTGAAATATATTAAGAGAAGAATTTAAAGTACTTAAATTTTGGCCGAAGTGTCTTCAGGTGAGTTGTTACTTCTTCATGCGCTCTCTCTTACCGTTTTGTGACCTGAGGTGACATGTGAATGTTTTAATATCTTTCCTGCAATTAGACGAGTCTGATATTGGCCTTCTATGAAATTCCTGTCAGGAGACAATTTTCATTCTTAAAAGTGGCGAATTATTCCACATGTGTTGATCAGGATATGAGTCTTCTATTTCACCAATTGGGAAATGGTTGCCGACAACGGTTGTGTGATGCACCGAGTGTGTACAATGATGGTGTCTCATGCCTGACCTGAGAAAGGAAGCTGGTCCAGAACTCTGATGGTGATCTGATCTATCCGATTGCATCTGAGACTGACAAGCAAAAATTTCCTCTGCCATATTCTAAGCAGCTGTTTTTTCCTGTTTCTCTACAATGGCAATAATTAAGAATGTGATTATGGCAATAATTAAGAATGTGATTTGGCTGAAATGCTAAGTCATATTCTTAATTATTTGTGTTAGACCTGTTTTTTTAATTAGTTAATTAGCCATTCACCTAAAATATAAAAAAAAATGTATTTCTAATAAGTTATGGTTGACCCTGCGATTGACATACTAAGGAAAAATTTGTGGGGTACCCCTTATCTTTAATATCTTATATATAATAGTGTTCCTCTCAGTAGATTTTTATTAATTGTTAAAAATTTCATGATTTTTTAAAACTTAATTCTAATGATTTTTTTTTTAAATTTGGTTAACAGAAATTTAATTGTAATTAGAAAAATAATTGAATAATAATCAAAAAATTCAATTGAAACAGAAATTGGATAATAATTAGAAAATTTAGAAAGTAAATATTAATTAAGAATAATAGCTATGAACTTTAAATAATTATTGGTGAGATGGATAGGATTTATGGATTGTATAAGAAAGGAATAATTGTAATACATCTTAGCTTTTAGAGAGGAAATAAATCTGCCAATTAATATTTAATATGTGTTATGTTTTCTTATATATTTTTTAAATGAAAATGATCCGAAGATTCTAAGGGGAGAAAGAGAAGAATCCTTCAAGAAAAGTTCTAAGGGAAAAATTTATTAATCCGTGGACTGATATTGACAATTTTAGTTAATAGTTTAAATATTTCTTAACATGTTGACTGCCGTGGGGGTCACCGGTGTCCGGTACTCGGCTTCAGCGCTATGGGTGCCACTAGTGACGCAATCAACAGTAAAATGCATAATTAGAGTAAATATTGATACTGGTAAATTTTTAAATAGTACTACTGTTACTGTAATGGTTTGAAGAATAATAAATTGTAAAAGTTTAAATTATAAATCGCAATAATTGTCTAAGTGCCTTGGGGGTAGCTGGTGACCCCCACCATGAAAAATGCATTACACACGATTATATAACTCATATTATCTTCTGTAGATAATATTTCAACATAATATACATTGCATAATAAAAATTTCAAGTTGGTGTCATGGGCAAATAACATAAAATGCACGTGGCAGTCAACGTGTTAAATATGCGAGTCAAAATACCACTTTGCATGGGTTTCAAAAAAATAACAAAATTATATTTTTATTAGTGCACTTTCAAAATTATACTAATCATTGTTTTAACTGAATGCATGTGATAATTAACTTCAGTGAAAAATTATACATTAAAGACATTAATATGAAGTTTCACAAGTTTTCTGGATTACTTAGATCAGTGGCCTCAAACTGACGACTTGAAGGCTTAATTCGAGCCCTGAAGCAATTTTACATGGCCCCTGAATAAATATCCATAAATTAATTAGCATTCATATGAAAGGAATTTGAAGAATTTCTTCTGCCATATTCTGAGTGGATTTTCCAATTATCAGCCTGTACAATAAAATTTTTATGTCTTTTTCCTCCAACGACTTGAGTACAGTATTGGACCTAGATTTGAGGCTTCCTGAGGAGCAAGTTCTGGTTTTGGATGGCTAAGTGATAAATACCTTTCCTTCTTTTTCTCATAAATTCATGCCAGAAGTTCCTATGGGTCCTAGTAATATGTCACGAGTGCTTAAATAAATAGAAATTTAAAAATAATGAAAAAAAAAAAAACTCTTTGACCTGCAGAATTTGTTTATTAACTGTTTTTTTTTTTCCTGTTTCTTTACTATGAATGGCAATAATTAGGAATGTGACTTGGCTGAAGTGCCTGCATTTGTGTTAGACTTTTTTTTTTTTTTTTAATTAGCCATTTACCTAAAATGTGTAAGGGAAAACATGCATTTCTTATGAATTATGGTTGACATACTAGGGAAAAATTTGTGGGGTACCCCTTCACTGTTAATAACTTCATGTTTTTTTTTAAACTTAATTCCAATGATTTTTTTTAAAATTTGGTTAACGGAAACTGAATTACAATTAGAAAAATAATTGAATAATAATTAGAAAATTGAATTGAAACAGAAATTGAATAATAAATAGAAAATTTAGAAAGTAACTATTAGTTAAGAATAATAGGTATGGACTTTAAATAATTATTGGTGAGATGGCTAGGATTAATGGATTGTATAAGAAAGTAGGTAATAATTGTAATACATCTTAGCTTCTAGAGAGGAAATAAATTTGCTGATTAATATTTAATATGTGTTATGTTTTCTTGTGTATTGTTATTATCATTTACCCAAACGTTTTTCATCAGCACGGTCCTGGAATAAAAATAAAACACAACGCAAAATTCACTCCTACATAATTACGATCAAAAAAATTTTAATTTGGTTTGTACTTAATTCTTATGATTAACTTAGGCTTTGATTTAGCTGAGTCTCAATTATTGATGTACATCTGGAAAAACTATAATATTATCTTTTGGTATTATTTGCATTAAATTTATATTATTACCTAATTAGTTTCGGATTCAGCCAGTTATGTTGTGGCCCAACATTTACAGTTTACATTACACAAATAGCTGTCTTCAAGCATAGAATACTTATGCTGCATAGAATGATGAATGACAAATTTTAAGTTATGATGTTTTTACTTAAAATGATCACATTTGTTTTCCTTCCCCTCAATCTGACATGGATTAAACTTCCTCTCCCTTTGAAAGTCATATAATAGTTCAAGTTTTATATAATTTTAATAAAAAATATTATACAACAAACTTTACAATCATAAATTATCTGATTCATTCATAATCAAATTCCGAGACAATAATTTGAGAGATATTTTGTCATTTAGTTTTCTTATATTTCAACTAATTTATCTAAAAGTTCTAAACAATATAAATTCTATATCAGCTGCAAATTCAGATTCAGTTTTAAAATATCAATTTCCTATTTAAAATTAAATATAGAAAACAAAAATAATATGATAAAAATTACTTTTCATGAGCAAAAAATATATCAAAATAAACATACTACTCACTCCTATAGGTAAGTATTGTATATTTGCTTTTTCTAATTCATGAGTAATACCAGAGCTACCAAAAACATAAACTTTTTTCTGAAAATTCCTGGACTTCAAATAGCATGGTACACAGTAAGATGTGGAAATAATACTATCCTAAAAAATAGAAAATTTGACATTATGAAATAGCTCTACATATTTTCTGACTACTGTGGGAAGGAGAAAAAATTACCTTTTAAAGAATGAAAATACGTCATCAAAATTAGAACTCTCTTCTGTGAAGCTAAGAACTGTGATATAAATTATAATTATTTTTTTTTAGATTCAGATCTGTTATGCTTTAAAAATACTGAATGTCTTTCCAAGAAATTTTAATAATTATATCGAGGATTTCAGCTGCCTATTATAAAAACTATATAACTATTATACTTAATAACTATTTGCTTTTTATTTATATAATTTAAAGTAAACATATGATATAAATGTAATTTTCTATGGATAAATTATCAATTTATCCATAGAATATCCAATTTATCCATAGAATATTATTTAAAATTTGTCCCAATTCCGAAGACTTCTTGAAAATGTGTAAAATTTTAATAGCAAAATATTAATGTTCTGTTATCGGGACCATGTCGAGAAATGTATGTATGCATGCATGTATATATGGATGTATGTGTTCACATGTATCTGTGTGTGTGCACATACATACTATACATGTGCATACATACATACACTTCCTACACCTGGTCCTGGTAACAGAACAGTACCTATTAATAATTAAAAATAATTTAGATTTATACCTTTTATTTTATGCATATGAGTAGAAATTTAATTTTAGTTTTTGCATGCTTACTTAAACAGAGTTTTTACTAAACCATCTTACTTACTATAGACACAGTTCAACTGGTACTTATGTATTAATGCAACCACCTTGGCGCAATTTAGCAAATGTTTATAGATGAAGAGGTTAAACTTTAATTTTCACTTATCGGGTGCAAATTGGTGGTATTTCTGCTTTTCTTTAACAAAGATTCCCAAGCTATTATTCCCAAATTTGATATTTATCGTAAGTCGGCAAACATTATCAACATATGAAAAGAAAACATACTTTAGCAATTTAAATATACAAATTTGAACTATTAAACAAGGATTATGTGAAACATTAAAAAAAAAATTGCGTTCTTCTTCAAATCTTTCTGTAATGTTTGTGTGCCATTCTTCTCCTGGATTACAGAGCATTCTGTTTTCAGTTAAAAAAAATCACAGAACTCCAGAGACATGGCTTCATGCAACCCTTGGCAACAGCGGCTATCAAGGAAACCCATTTCCTTGTTGTTTCCTTTAGAAAATTTTCAGCAAAATTCTGTATTCTTGCAGAAATTTTTCTGCAGTTTCTTTCATTGCGGCCAAATTCCACAAATTCATATTTTAAAACTAAGGTAAAAAATTTATTGATTTGTTTATAAAAACCACTGGAACTTGGAATGCAACAAAAAAAGCGGCTAATCTTTGAATATGGTAACAGGTAGTTTGGCAACATTTTGGTAAGGCGATAAAGGTTACTAACTAGGATTTTAGCAGTGTGCATGGATAAAGTCAAGAGTGTGCGCAATGCCATTTTTGTGCAATTCTGGGATGTTTTTTTAAGTGAAAATAGGTCGATGTGTACATGGATACCGTGTATGTGCAATTCTTAAAAACGCTGTAAGCAGTGGGCGATTCTGCGTTTTGTCCCAATTTCGCACCTAATCTTCGTCATGATTAAGCACTTTTGTTCCATAAAAGTTCTAGCATAAGCGTAATTCGGCTAGCAGATTGTTGGAAAAAATGTTTAGTTTTTAAAAAAAAAAAAAACATGCCTTTACTTCGTGAAAACAAAAATGCTGTCCAAACAAAAACTAGCTAGCAGGTTACTGTAGCAGGGTTGGTCGCCAAATTTTCACCAAAAAATTGCCATGTTACCAATTAATGGTTTGGTTAATCCAAAGATTAACCAAAAAAGCATATGAAAAATGGCAGAGTTGATTGACTAATGGATTGTTATGAGCATGGTTGCCAGAGTTTAGCACATTTTGAAAGTGTAGTGACTTCCACTGAGGTCATTACATTAATATGCAAGTACTGTTTAACTAATATAACTGAACTTATTCTAACTACGCATTCTAAGGAAAACAAAATGATAAATCGGAAGCCATTTCTTCCCCACATTGAAAATTAGTCACCAATGAGTTTGCGAATGCTCTTCAAAGTCACTTCACAACGTTTGGTGACAGATAAGATCAGAAAGTACCTATAATTCTACAGGGGATTCTAGATTTTAACTACAGAGTAGATGCATAAGATAAATTGGAATTCACAGGATAATCTTCCCTACAAAATAAATAAACATAAAATCATAAATGCATAATTTTATGACATTTTTAATATTCCTTTTACTATTGAAAATACCTCATATCATTCAATTTCTTTAATATGCATAAAACATAATTTTAAAATGCATAAATCAAATTAGAAAATGTATAAATACAAAAGAACTGTAACTCAGAATTCTTACCAAGGTAGCAGGAAAACCCAACGATTCACACTTTTTCAGATATTCCTCTCGACTTTTTGTACTATTATTTGTCACATAAATGATGTGTTTTCCCTGAAAAAGTTACACAAAAATCAACACATAAAAATATCAATAAAAATAGCTAATTACAAAAACTCAATTAAAACAGCTAATTACAAAAAACAAAAAGATTGAAAGTCAATCTTCTTTCAATTAGAATATTTTGAAATAACTGATAGCTCTTCATTAGCAGTACCTCATAGCACTACCATAGAAAACAACAACATTTTCTATAGTAAAAATAAATCTAATTTCTAATATTCTACCTTTGGGGTTTCTCAAAATATCATTTCACACTTATTACAATCTAGATCCGTGTTTCCCAATGTGGGGCCCACGTCCCACAAGGGGGCAATGCAACTGTTAAGGGGGGGCAATTCGAAAATGGACTCGTCCAGAGTTTAAGGGGACAAAGGACGTTCTAAATATGTTTCATAAAGTCAAAATTTTTTTAAATTTCATTTTTTATTCCCCAGAATAAAGAAAATTGTAAGCGATGTATACATAAAAAAGTTTTTAAATTGCGGTGCATTTTAAATATTTTATAAAGAATTCTCGCTGTAGACATGGACATTTAAATGCTTTTAAATAACTGACACATTCTGCTTTCCAGACGTTTCTCACACATTTCAGCCAACGAATTTATTTTATTTTTACTGTAGGAATGCAACCGGTATATTATTCTTCCTTGAATGGGCACAGTAGCTGCTTTCAGCTTTGTTTATATTGATCTTATATTTATTTCTTTCAGCCCTTAGTTAAACGAGGGGTGCAAGCAAGAAAAAACGTTCGTCGGTATTCGGAGCCATATTTAAAATTTGGTTTCATACCCGGTCCATAAACGGTCAACTTTTGTCCTTTTATGCCAATAATGCCTGATCAACAAATCAATGAAACTAGGTCGTCTTGAGGCACATTTGAAGGCGAAACATAATGCTGATATTAATTCAGATTTGAATTATTTTCATACTTTAAGGAAAATTTTTGAAAAAAGAGTAATATTAAAGTGTCTGTTTACTGCTCATAATGCAACTGTTAATCGTGCTCTTGAGGCTATTTATCAAATTTCATTACTCATTGCTTAATCTGGGAATATAGGGGAGAATTTAATTAAACCATCAATATCAGCATTTAAAACTTCTAGAAAAAGGTGACAAAGACGTTAAAGCTATGCCACTAAATAACAATACTGTTTGCAGAAGAAAGATTAAATGAGTGAAGATATTGAAATACAACTTGTTGAAAGGCTGAAAACAAGAAAACTTTCGGTGCAAATGGATGAACCAACTTTGAGAGACAGTGAGGCCGTACTTGTAACTTGTGTAAGATATATTCATAAAAGAGATTTTGCCAAAGAAATATTCTGTAAATCATTAGAAAGCACCACTGCCTACAAAGATATTTATACTACGCTAAAAAATTATAGATATAAAAAATATATCAATAAAAATATAATACATCTTGTACTGCAGATAGTTTTCCTAATATGATGGTTGAAAAATAAAATAAAGCACGGAATAAGAAAAAGCGTTGCTTAAAATTGATAAAAGATGAGAATCCAGAAATGCTTCTTGTGTATTGTGTTATTCATAGAGAAAAGCTGCTAGCTAAAAACAATTCGCCTGTTCTAAATGAAGTACTAAATTCAGTTATAAAGTGTATCAATGCTATTAAAGCTAGGGCCAAATGTGAACGTCTTTTCAAGTTTTTTTTATGAAGAACAAAATGAAGACAATATGAGACTTGTATATCACATTGAAGTAAGAAGGGCTGCTAAAGGGAACTTTGCGAAAGCTTTATGGAACTATTTGATACTCTTAGTTTTTGTTAAGCGACAAACCTGAAATGAAAAATCCATTAACAGATGATTACAAGGCAATTGTGAGTTATTTAGACAATATCTTTGAAAAATTAAATATATTATATAAACAACTTCAACGAGCAAATAAATCTTATGATGCAAAAGGAAGATATTTGGTTTAATTACCTTTGTTGAATTATGTCAGGCATATATTATTTACCACAACAATTTTAAAACGTCTCATTGGCTCCAAAAATGTGACGTGACTACCATTATACTTGTTATTGATACCGCAATACATGTTATTGTCAATCATCTGATTTTTAAAAGATTTTGTGACTTAAAACAAAATGATATTCCAAATTGGATGATACAGCCAAAGCTAGTGGATTTGGCTGATATTTCAAATATGCAGTAAAAAGAACTCGCAGAAATGCAAAATGCTGAGTCAATTAAAACTTTATTTAATATGAAAGGAGCGATGGCATAGCTTTGTGAGGAAATCAGAATCAGATATCTAAATGCAACAAAATTTGCAAGAGAACTATTGTTACCGTTTCCATCTTCATATTTTGCTGAATGCGGATTTAGTGCCATAAATGATTTGCTGCTGTAAAAAAAAAAAAAAAAAAAAAAAAAAGTTGGATATAATGAAACCGGAGACTTGAGACTCAAGTTATCTACATTGGAATCTGACATAAAGTTTCTTTGCAGCAAGTATCAAGCGCAAGGAATCGCTACATTTAAAGAATAAAATTACTAATACTTAAAATAAAAACTTTCACTAAAATGAGTTTTTTTCTTGAATTTCAGTTCTTCATGTTTTGAAAGTTCACTTACTGTGTTTGCTCACAAAATTTCGTTATCGTTTCTGCCTAAAAGATATCATTCAAGTTTCTTTCGTGAAAATTTCAATTTTTAAATATTAAAAATTATGTAAATGCTAGGGGGAGCTTAAAAATTTTAGAGAGTATAAGGTGGGGCATAGCACAAAAAAGGTTGGGAAACACTGATCTAGATAATATTCTAAATGAGTTACCACCAAAGAATGCATGTAAGTAACCACAGAAATGACTAAATTGCATTATACTCTTTTCTTTAAAATGCCATAAATAAAATTAATTACCTATCTTACATCATAACTTTTAAAATATATTAAATATGACACTTTTTTGTGAACATTAACAATAAATGGAAATATATTGTATTTAGTTGCATAATTTCCCAAAATATTTTTTCCTAGTTCCATATATTGAAAATTGACACGGGAAAGTTAAATGGTGTATGAAGTTTTTTGAATGATAGAGAAAGAACATATATGATTAAAAGAATGTACAAATGGATGTACTACTATTCTTATTAGTTATAACCTTCAGAACTATTTTTTTATTTTATTATTGCTACTTATTATGATATTAAATAATTTAATATGTCATGATCAGTCTGGATAATTTCTAGTATTTCCAACTGGAGAAATTGTGGATATGAGGAAATATGTTAGTACATCACAAGTTTTTAAAATGTACATTAAGTAAACTAGGAAGAAGACATACAAGCAGAACATACAAGCAGAAAGATACAAATCGATATGGTGCTACCTTGTTTTCACTCCAGAGTATTGCAATTTTGTAACACATCTTAAAAAACAGAGATTCATTTCATATATGGACTATCTTATATTTTGACAAAAATAAGATTTTCAGTAAGAACATTACTTCTCCAAGCTTTAAAATAACATAATGTTAATAAAGCACTTACCATTTTTTTCAGAGCTTGTATTGTCTCAATAGATCCTGGAATTGGAACATTACCCAACCACAGCACACCCTAAACATTAAAATAAATATATATATATATATATATATATATATTTAGTATTTCTTTGAGCATATTTAAAAAAAAATCCAAATTTTACCTGCAATAAATATTACACTAGAGTTTATTAAAAACTCTATCATCATATTTTATCTCAATATTAATAAAAATTAGATAGTAAGGAAAGATAGTATCTGGCAAATAATGATACTAAGTGCTCATCTCTGTTTTTTTGTACCCATACTTACTTATTTCAAGATGCAATATATTCTTCTCAGACATGAAAGTCCTCATTACTATCAATAAAAAATTATGAAAATTTTTATTGATATTTTTATTGATCTTATTTTCAGTTGTTAATTGTATTCTCAAAACTTTCAAGAGATGCTTGATAGGTAAGTTAAGAATTACCATAATGATCAAATGTTTACACATATTAGATTATCTTGTAATCAAAATGTTCAGAATAGTTATTAAATTTAACTTTATTGTGATAGAAATAATTCAAAAATATATTTTGCAGATCAAAGTTTGTTAGCATAATGTTTGGTAAATAATACTGTATGGAAAATATAAAAGTACTGCATAAAAAAGACAAAACCCTCTTACTTTAAAGAATTTTCCATTAAAAAAACTCTTTGTTTTATGAAAAAAGAAATAAAATAGATTTGGCTAATTGACTTTAAACTATATACGTGACCATGTTTTCTAACAGAAAGAAATTTATTGAAATGCATTAAGTATGAACATTATCTAGCAAAGATTCCATTGGGGGAGAAGAAAAAAAAAAAAAAAAAAAAACTTCAGTTAAGAGAAAATTTTCAAGAAAAGTAAATCAGCAAAGATAAATTGTTACAATACTGTACATCACAAAACCAATATAATTAAAGATATGCATATATATAAATACCCAAATATATGAGTTTATTCAGTAGCAAGCCAACAGTGCTTCTGTGAGGGTTTTTTTTTTCCTTGTTAAATTTGTCTCTAACTGATAAGCTTCTTGTTCTGCACTGATTTAAAAAAATAATTTCAATTTAAAAATCAAACAAAAATTATCAAGAGAAAAAATTGCTGAGTTACCTTGCAGTGCCTTTACAAAACAAATTACTGCTACAAAATAATTATAAAATATAAAATAAAAAATGAAATTGATGGAAACCAAGTGATTTTTAATGTTTATTATCCAAAGGCACAGGCCATGGAAGAAGTAATATGCCCCAGGAGATGAAAGGATACAAACAATTTAAATTTATATCAAAACATGAAATAAAAATAAACAAGTTTTTGAAGTTTTTCAAAATGGAATATAAAAAACTGCATAATTAGTATATTCCTAACAGCACAATGAAAGCTAAAGTCATTACAGTCTATTGCTATTAGCAGTGCTAAAATTAAATAATCTTTTAGTTCAAAAAACAATATTTCTACAAAAACCTCTTCATAGCATGTTTCAGATTTAAAGATAATACCCTTAATCGGGAAACCTTTTTTAACGCTAAACCTAATGCAAAAAGTTTTTGTAAATCATTGCAAGAGCTAAGGAAATAATGTGTAGCAGTTTCTACCATAGCTTGCGTTGCATGATTAAATTCATTCATTATTTCAGGTATTTTCTGTGATGTTTTGATACTTTTTTAAAGACTTTTTGTCAGTGCACAATCATTTGTATTTCTTCTTTTTGTAAAAAGAAACATATATTTTAAAAATTACGACGAATTTCTAAAATAAGTGATAACTTTTTATCACCGATACCCACTAATTTCTTAGAATTATGAATTATCAAAAAATAATTTAATCATAGTAGCAGACATTTATACCATCACAGTCGGTTAGCACATAATCAAATGACTCAAAAAATCCTGATGATATTACAGATTCATCAACTTTTTTACAAGATCTCGATGGCATGATTAATTCCTCACACTTTTTATTTCACAGCCCGGTCACCAGAGTCACGCTAAACGGAAGCGGAAACGTAAACCAAAGAGTTCAGATTTACGTTCTTTGACGTCAGCTGACTGAGATATATTTTGTTTTGCAATAGCTAAGTCGTTTTGCTCACAGACCGAAAATTCAAGCTGAAGTTCAAAGGAGATAAATACAGTGAAGGATGCTAGATGCTAATAAGTAATTCCAAATAACTAATAACTCCGAGACAATCTGATAAGTAAAAATAGAACGAATGTCCCTCCTAAACGTCCCCTTCAACACACCGTATTATGAAATTCCTCATTAGTAAGTTTCCGCTATGTAGTCGCTTTGTGCTATGCGAGAGAATTCCTAGGTTAGTAATTGTCTCATTATCTTTAGAATCTTCTGTTGAATGTTCATTACTGATTTTTTTTTTATTATTTGCAGCATTTACGTCATTCGACTCTTATTTTTTTCCTTGCTTTTGATTTCTCTTTCGATTTATCTCTTTATTCTTCCAATGAATGTTCAAAAGAATTTCCTTATTTTCTTCCTCTATAACGAAATATTTGCTAAAACTTTAGATTTCTTCATGAACGTTTAGCAGATAACGTTTAACATGAGATATTGGCTAAAATGTTCCTTGGCACACAAATTGGTGACAAGTTAGCTATACTTAGCCAGCTTGGAAGCATTTCCGATGCTCTAAATGCTACTTTTTCCGAAACATCAAGAAGCCTGTGCAGTACCATATAAATAGTGCTCTGCAGAGTAAGTTACTTTTAATCATCTCTGAGATTTTGCAGTTTAAGGAAAGTTAGTTGAATTTCATTTTCGAGTTTACTCTTTTAGCGATTTGGGAAGTTTTTTTTTATGCATAACGTAATATGATTTTCAGCTGTATGTCTATAGTTTAGCCATAGCTATTTATTTCATACTGTATTATGTGAAATTTTAATTAGTAATTTTTGCACGTTGTGAAAGTTATGTTATAGTATACAGTTTTATACACTGCATCACAGCCGCCCACGTGCTATAGTAGATAGGAGAGTCGACTGCGATACCGAAGGCCCGGGTGCGTAATGGCAGACCGCACATTGAGTTGAACAGTGTTAAGCGAATTTCGCTTACTGCGCATGCTTGATGGTGCACCTTTGGCGCTGGGAGAAATATTGGCGACTAAGCAACCCTACGTTAGCTTATTCGTGATCTCCATGGCTGCCGAGTGTGTTGAGTGATGTTTAAAACTGCACTGTTGTGGAACTTTGTTTATTAGTTATTTTAACGTCCATGCCGATTGCACTTGCTTATTTTTCTAATATATGTTTCATTTTAATTTGTCAATAACAGTGCATTTAATATTTGTTAACATATGTTCGTAATAATTCGTTATTTTTAAATGTAATTTGTTTACATGTTATAATTCAGTAATTGTAAACTGGAGTATCTCGCTTAGTTTTGTTAGCGTATATTCGCGCTTTTATTTTCTCATTTCAAAGAATTTGATAACTAGCATTAAGAATTGTAAAATTTCTTCAGTGTTATTTGCAAGCACTTGTTATATTCCTCAGTGTTTCTTTATGTATGTAGGAATGGAACGTATGGTAAATCCTGAATTGTTTTTATTGCTTAAAAGTATAATGAATAAATTTTCAATTAATATATCCTAAATTTCAGTCTTTTTTTTTTCTGAACTAAAATTTGTACAGTTTCCAAAGGAATGTGCAGAATTTCATAAGTATTATATTTTTACATTTTTGAATGTAAACACTGCTTCACATTACTTGGCAATAATTTCAGCTCTCTCTAGTTGTTTGAGCAGTATAGCAAAAAAATAGTATTTTAACACAGTAATTAATTTACATTTACATTATACTCTACGAAGATTTAAAACGCCAGATTTGTTTACAATTAGATGGCGATACATTTACCATATACCGTATTTATCTTCTTTTCAAATCGCGCCAACATAGTAATTACGCCAAATTGTTTTCTGGGCATGCGCAGTATGCGACATTCGTTTAACACTGTTCAACTCAATGTGCGGTCTGCCATTACGCGGCCCGGGTTCGAATTCCGAAGAAGGCATGGATGTAAATTGTATGTCTTCTCATAGGAGGTAACGATGGCCGCCTATTAGGTGTCTCTATCATAAAATGACCACCACTTCTGGCCTTAATAGTGGCGAAAACCTAAAAGTGGCTAGTGCACGCCATAAAAAAATGGAATGAAGAATTTGTATTACAAGCATTACCTAATAGTTGTGAAAAAGGAAATTCGATTGAGATGCAAAAATATAAATGCAAATTAAACGAAAATTTTAGCATGATTTAAATGACTTTAAAAATATAAAAAATCGTTATAACAATACGTAAGTATTAAATCAAGGCCATGTTGCGGCCGATTTTTACTACGCCTGTCCTGTCTGGGAAATGTTTCGTTAAAAACTACTTTAAATAAGCTTCAATTTAATCAAAACATGACTCTGAGACAGAATTCTTTAGCACGCTGGTTTTACAGAAATACTAAAATTCACGAGGAACTCGGTGTTAAACCAATTGCTCAATTCATGGCAAAAATTGCAAAAAAAAATGTTTCAACAATATTATGTTTGTTCAGAATGTTTTTATACCTTTGCTGAATTATGACTCACGTGGATAATTGCAGGAGCAGTACCTGTAAACTTATAATGTTTATTTCTGACTTCGTTGGATTTAATTCCTTTTATTATTTGTATATATCTGCTCATTTTTATAATTTACATTGCTGTTTCGTCTGCCCCCTTTTTATTACTTATTTTACGAACAAAGCCGGTGGGTTTTTCTTTGCTCTAGTGATAAGCTCTCTTTCAGCCAGTCACTAGCTTTCCCGACTCTCTGGCTCCTGTGTGATCCACTACTCAGTATTTCATTCGTTGATTCCACTTTTTCCCCGATGGAGATTATTCGCCTTACTCCTCACTACTTTCGACTTATTTTATTATCTGAATTACTATTTACGCCTACAGATATGCTACTTATACATTAGGTTATTTATATTTATTAATATGGGATAGGGCTTCGGACCAGGAACCCATGCCTTGGGGTAAAGCCCAACAAATAAACAAGTGTGTAAACAAGACGTGTAAATGAAAATGCAAACTAAAGAAGAATATCGTATAAGACCCCCCCCCCAAAAAAAAAAAAAACAGGGCTGTGAAGTCGAAGTCATGGTGTCGGAATCGGGTGTAGTTGGTGTATTTAATTATGGCAAAGCACACTAGGGCTATCTGCCTAAGGGAAGGGATGTCTTTGTGGAGGACTTTCTAAGGGAAACTGGCTCGTATACACGTTACACATGGGGAAAACCACGAAAACACCCATGCAGCCAGCCCGTTCGCGGTATTCGAACCTCGGACCGAACTACCAGTGTTCAGCGACTTAACCGCTCGTCCGCTGGTGGGCAAATGGTGTCGGAATCGGAGTCGGGCAGATTTTGGGGTAAAAGGAGTCGGAGCTGGAGTCTCTAAAATCAGGTCGACTCCAACTCCAGTTTTTGTTGGACAGTTTGAATTTGAAATGAAATTAAAATGAATTCAAACAAATTAATGGCAAGCGGAGTTATTATTATTATTTATGGATTATATACATTAACAAATAGTTATTTTCTATTTTATTAACATATTAATAAGTAAATATAAAGGAGGAGGATAGATGTGATATTTGCCGTTAGTGATTAAACTCATTCATATAGTTACAAATTTCATTAGTAAATTTAAGTAAGCAGCAATAGCAGCAAGAACTCCCAAAATTGATGCCGTTCTAAGGAAGCGATCAGGAAAAGGAACAATCATTCATCAAGCAACGCGATAAGGAAGTACATATTTAATGATAAAGAAGTTGTTAGAATTAAGATCTTTTTTAGATGTAGATAACCCTAATGTTTCACTAACAGAAAGACTATGGAATGATCTTGCAGAACTGGAAACTCTTCTTTCTACATCGTATATAGCCACAAAAAAGCTGCAGTCTAAAGAATTGACAGGTGGTGAGAATGGAAGAAAGTGATGTTCATTCTCTTCTGAAATGGAGGGATGGAGGGTTTATTGCAGAGAGGAATCATTTTTTTCAATGAAGAAAAGAGAAACTTAGTTTGCTAGACAATGAGATCTTGCTTTGTTCAATATATATAGATTCCAAAACACCCAAATTTGGTTGGATGACGAAGAAATTAAAAAGACAACAAAAGCCATCTATGAACTTTCATTAAGAATGAAATTATTCTCAGAACAATTGGAGAATTCGAATCAGGACAGTCAAACTGCAAACATCCTCTTCCAGCGATGAATTAGATTTTGAGAAATATTTTCGGATAATATTGAAAAGGCTAAGGCAAAGTGAATGCAAATAAAGAACCAAGAGCCTTTAGATATAAAAATGAAAGTATACAAACAAGATTTCTACCCGCCCTTTGAAGAAATAGAGAAATATGATTCCGCTTGCAAGAATCCTCTTTTAGAACTTATAAAAATCTGTCCTGAAAAGTTAAAAGAAGTAAGCCCTAACAGTAACAGCTCTTCCTCCTTCTCAAATTAGTGTGGAAAGACTCTTTTCAGCTCTGAAGTTTATCAAATCGGATCTATGGTCCTCCAACAAAGAAGATCTTGCCGAAGCTATAGTGTTTCTCAGAAATAACTAATGCCAGTTTTTCTATTTCATAATAATAATTGTGTATACGAGCCAATTTTCCTTAGAAAATCCTCCATGAAGACATCCCTCCCCTTAGCCAGATAGCCCTCGAGGCTTTGCCATTAATCACACACACTATTTCATAATAAATGCCAATTAATATAAATAATTTGCTATACCATCAATTTTTTTTTCTGTAGCATATATTACTTCTTTTATATTAAAAAAATAAGCTCTAACCCATGTGTATATGTTTATATATATATTACATATATATATGAGAGAGTCGGAGTCGGTCATTTTCCCTACCGACGCCCCAGCCCGGCAAAAATACTATATTCAATTAAAATGAAACTGTCATATTTATAATAACAAATT